CACGTGATAACTACACCGGCAACCACAACAATTGGACATGTAACCTATTTGCACGAAGTCATAGAGGAACTCACAACGGATAAGTACCAAAACAATAAGGAAGACAATCACTTCATTTAAGGCAATTTAGGGTCAATGTAACACGTAACAATTAGAGGAAAGATAGCAACGTCATATGGAGCATATAGGGGCAATTTATGCAACTAGGAAACCCAATCATAACAGGACACTTTTCACATAAGGACCTAAGAACCCTATAGGCAAATTTCCCACAAATAAGTCCGAGCACACACTCGTCACCTCGCATGCATGGACTACAATTAGCATAGAAGACTCAATTCATAAGGGGAAGTCCCCCACACAAGGTTAGGCAAGATACTTACCTCAAAGGCGACAGACCGATACTTCAAAATGCACTTCTCATGTGAAAAGACCTTCGGACGGCTCAAATCTAACCGAATCAACTTCAAAGCACAAATATAACACATAAGAAACTATTCAGGATCATAAAGTTTCAATCTTTACAAAAATATAAAAATCGACCCAAAAAGTCGACCCCCGGGCCCGCACCTCGGAACCCGTCAAATTTTACAAAATCTGATCACCCATTCCAAAATGAGTTCAACCATACAAAGTTTATCAAATTTCGATACCATTTGGCCCCTCAAATCACGATTTTTCATTTTTTTTAGGAATTTTCTTCAAAAACCCAATGTTTTACTCAACCCAAATCACAATTTAAATGATAAAACTGAAGACAAATTCATGAAATATAATCAATTCTAAGTTAAGAATACTTACCCAATTGTTTTGCTTGAAAAACCCACAAAGAATTGCCCAAAATCGAGCTCTAGAACTCCAAAAATGGTGAAAATGGCAAACCCTCGGAATAGAGTACTATTTATTCTGCCCAGGTCTTAAAGCATCGCGAACGCGGAGGAAGTATCGCGTTCGCGAAGAAGAAAGATGAAGGCTGCCCAGGTTACTCATCGCGAACGCGACAGTGCGTCAGCGAACGCAAAGAAGGAAAATCGAATGGCCCAAAGACTGCTCTTCGCGAACGCGTGAACTTGTACGCGAACGCGAAGGGTGGGATGGCATAACTACGCGAACGCGATGGACGGATGCGAACGCGCTGAAGGAAGAGATAGAGCTTCGGAACGCGACCCTTTTAACGCGAAAGCGAAGAAGGAATTCCAGCTGGTCAGCAACAAGGCTTCGCAAACGCGGAAGGCGATTCGCGATCGCGAAAGAGGATACCAGAAGCAGATACAACAGTTCAAAAACAAGGGAAAATGACCCGTAGCCCATCTGGAACACAGCCGAGGCTCCCGGAACCCCGTCTAATCACACAAACAAGTCATATAACCTAACACGGACTCGCTCGAGGTTTCAAATCACATGAAACAACAACAAAATAACGAATCAAACCAAAAATCAAGCTTATGAATTTCCAAATCTTCAAATATCAAATCTCATGCCGAAACCTATCAATTCAACTCGGAATAACGCCAAATTTTGCAGACAAGTCCAAATTGACATAACGGAGATGTTCCAACTCTCGGCATCGCATTCCGACTCCGATATCACAAAAGTCAACTATGGGTCAAACTTCTCCATTTTCAAAACTTCAACTTTTCCAACTTTCGCCGAAACACCTCAAATTACCCTACGGACCTCCAAATCCGAATCCGGACGCGCTCCTAAGTCCATAAATCACTATACGAAGCTGTTGGGATCACCCACGACCCATTCCGGGGCCATTTACTCAAAAGTCCAATTCCAGTCAAATTTTCACTGTTTAAACTTCCATAACTAGGTTCCTTCTTCCAATTCAATTCTAGTTCATCCGGAAACCGAATCCAACCATGCACACAAGTCGATATACCTAATGTGAAGCTGCTCAAGACCTCAAACTACCGAATCGGCGTAGTTGTTCAAAATGACCAGTCGGGTCGTTACACATACTTTCTAGGCGAGCAACAGAGTCCTATAGGCAAGATATCTAAGAATTGGCAATTGAAACTGGTTTTTTTATCCTTTCATTCCTATAAGCATGCTTTCTAGGTGAACAATAACAGTAATAGTAGCTAATTTGATTATATCCTATAGGCATGATATCTACGTGAATATTGTAAAGAGCAGGTATTTATGACTCAATGTAATCCTATAGGCGTGATATCTATATGAATATGGTAAAGAGCAGGTATTTATGACTCAATGTAATCCTATAGGCATGATATCTAATATGAAGCAATTTGAACAAATAATTATTGTGTTGCAGTATAGCAGGCAGAAAATAACGTGGGAGTGGAACATGTGCACAGGTGAGATTAATTTATGTCCTATAGGCATGTTATCTAACAAAACACATCGAAGCAGAGCATGTTGAACACATTAAACACTCAAATCCTATAGGCAAGATTTCTGCCATTTCATGCAAACATTAGAATAGACCCACTTTCCCAATTTTTAGTAATACCCCAATTGTTATTATAGAATTATTACAGGCCCAGTAATGAAATAAATTACAAAGCGATAGAAATAACTATAGTGGGCCTAAGACAGGCCCAAAGTATACCCAGCCCGGCCAGGTCTTCAATTTCGTATCCATACAGGTTTCACCACATCCCAGAAACCTCAAGAGCACTCGAACGAATCCAAATAGCCATTGTTGATCTAAGGATCCAGAAAATAGCCATTTAAACAAGACAATTGGCTTATTGAGTAGGCATAGAGGGGAACAGAACTGAGTAATTAGGAATAGGTGGCCAAAGAACCTTAGGCCCTAGTGTGTCAAAGTTCACATGGGTCTCAAAGTGGACCCCGAGCAGTGCTCACACTAGGGAGGTTAAATAGGGAAGCCTTAGAGGGGTCTTGGCTTTCAACCTGCCAAGAATTAGAGACTCAGAACAGGAAACAACCAATGAAAATAGTAGTAAAGTAATAAGGTTTTGAAAAGCATTTGCAAACGCTACAAAATGATTACATAGTGAACATATCAACATAGAGGGTGCATAGATTCATGAAAAACAAATTGATACTGCAAATTCTCACTTAACACATTGGGGCAGGGTGACATATTGATAAGAAACAAGGAGCCTGAAGCTTATTGGATTACCAAGTTAATAGGCAAGGAGCATTAGGCTAGTAAGACAAATAGTTGTCACTAATGCAATAATTTTAAAACCTAAAGGATCAAATTATACTAAACACAAGGGTTAAACAGTGTGACTTATACTTGATGAAGCAAATAGAATCAGATGTCACATAGGGCATCAGTCAAGAAAGAGCAGTTGTTAGAGGTACAGAATTGGCAGGGTAAGACCATACTAGGTGACAAACATATTCATAGGAACAAATTATAACTAGAGTGAGGGTCTCAATACAGATTAGCACATAAATTAATCACTATAGAAATTCAGAATAAGGCAGAAAACAGGATGAGGCCATATAGCCAATGCAAACGCTCAAATTATCAATACATTAAGCCAAGCATGCTTCGAACTGTCCAAATTACCTAATTTAAGTACAAATGCATTTTTAGGACCAACAGTTTAGGCGTGAAACAATGCTGGAGAAGTTCATGCTATAGGCAAAATTACACATGAAGAAAGTCAAGGAATTATATCAAGTCATGCAATTTCAGAGAACATAGGTATGCTAATTAGCACATAATGGAATGAACATTGTGAAGGTTGAGAATTAACTAGTTATTGCTCAACAAACAAGAAAAAGAACAACAATATGACCCAGAATCCCAGATGCATCAAGTTCCCAAGGGTTTCAAAGAACCCAGTGCAGTGGTCGCACCCTAAGAAGGTCAGAAAGTAGGAAATATGGAGGCCTTGTCTTTCAGTCGGCCAAGAGCCAAAATAGAACAAGAGAATTAGCGAATACAGAGTAAAAGCCTTAGTTTTAGTGGGAAATTTAGCGATTGAAGTCTTTTCTAAAAGGGAATGGGGGAAGGGTTTATATAGTGGTAAAAATCGAACAGTAAACAAGTGAAACAGAGTAATTTAAGCAACAAATAAGGTAAATAAACATGCAAGTCGGTCTGAAAATCAATTTAAGAGATTTGTAAACCCTAGTTTTTGGGGAAAATGAATATCAAGAGAATATAAATAAAACAGTAGCATATGACGAATATAGACAAAAATAATACTCAAAATCAAATATTTGAACCAATTTTGTTCGATTTTGAAGAGATGTGTAACCCCTAGTTTTAGGGAAAATAAATATCAAGAGAATATCAAGAAAGATCGGACTCACAGTGACATAGGATGAATATAGAAAGAATAACACTCAAAAATCTGGGATCTGAACCACTTTTGGTTCGATTTCGGAGAGATTTGCTTGCCATGTTTGGGCAAGCACTATAGGATAATAACCAGTACCAGAAAGGGGTCGTATATGGAAAGAAACAGCCATTGAATCCCATATTTGGTGGGATTAGGAGAAGATTTAGGGGGCGGCGGCTTTAGGGTTCTTCAGAGAGGGAGGAGAGGTTGAGAGAATGTGAGGGCGGCGGGTTATGGGATTATTGGTTAGGGTTTCTGGGAGGGTAATTAAAAGGGGGAGAATAAACAAGGGCCGTTGATCTTGAGAGATCAACGGCCACGATTTTAAAATGAGTGGGGCGGGTACCTGTAGACATGTGATTTTTGACCCTACCCAAAATTTTATATATTTTAGCGTGTAAATATTTAGTTTAGGTCTAATATAGTTATTTTAACTAGTTTTGACTCTTTTCGTTATTTTATTACAAAAATAAAAATCACAATTTTTTTATTTTTTTTTATTTTAGCTAGTTGATATTTTGTCTAGTTAATTTTACTTTTGAAAAATAATATACAAAAAAAGAGAGAATGAAAGAAGCGCAAGAAAGAAACTTTCAAGTGGTACCCTCATCTATCTTTTATCCCATATTAACGTGCCTCCCTTATTTGGGACCTTTTGGCTTTCAAAAATATTTTGTCCCCCAATCAATTAAATGTGGCGAGATCATCTTTCTAGATAATTCCCCATAACAAACTTCTGGATTAGAGGGCACGATATTTTGGGGGAGGGGGAATCTTTCCTGGGGACGTTTTTTTTCTTCTTCTCTTTCTTTCTCTTTCTATATAACACATGCACACACAAAAGTCACACAGAAGAAAAAGGGGGATAACGGAAATAGGGAGAGAGGACCTGGAGAAAAGGAGAACAAAAAAAAAAAAAAAAACGAGCTCACTCCTCTTCTTCCTCATTAGTTCATCACCATCTTTGCACCATAAAACAAAATCTAAAAACTGCCTTCTTCTTCCATGAAAGTCCAGCCATGAAATCCCAACTCAAAACCATCCAAAACACCACCATTTACAGCTGAAAAGTGCAGCAAAACAGGCACAAAAACAGAGCAAAAATGGAGAACAAAAAAATCTCCAAAAAACCAGCCTGAAAATCACGCACACACACAGATATCCATCGCCTCTGCTCCTTCTTCTTCTGCCTGAAACTCGCCGGATTAGCGAGCTCCATCCGCGACAAACAGAACCAAACAGCCCCGCACCAGATCTCTATAGCCAACACTCAGCACCCCTCTAAAATCGGCAGCCGCACGCACGTTCAGTCCAAAATCGAGTGAACGTTAGCTTCGAGCTTGAGTGTCGAGTTTCTCGGTATCGTTTCGAGCTTCCGTCTAGCGTCCGTGGTTCATGCTTCAGCTGTCCCGTTTGCTGTAACAATTGTTGCATCCGAACATAAAACTGTAAAGTTGGGAAATTCTCGTTAAATACGCAACACTAGAGGTCCGTTTCTTTCCTCCTCTTTGATTATCTGTGAGGTGGTTTTAAGCATGACATCGATTTTTTTTTTTTTTCTTTTTACATTTGTTTGAGACTTTGAGTCAGTAAGTTTATTCAAGTTTTCTCAGAATCTCTTAATACACAGAGTGTTGGTTGTTGATTTTAGTTGAAATTGAATGTTTTATATTATGCTTGAGCTTGAAGGTTTAATGGGAGAGCATTTCTATAGTTTAAATTTTAAATTAGTTTGAGGTCAATTGTCATATGAATCGGTGCTTGAAATATTTTGCAATGTCCGTAATGTTAGTGCTCAATTACAGTGATTATTTCTCTTATTCAATGTTCCTATATGTTTGGACGTTATGATTATTTTGGGTGATTATGGTATTTAGTTTTTCTTTGCTACTTGTTTCTTTTCTTGAAAAAAAAAAAAGAAGAAAAAAAGTTATTATTTTAGAAAGTACTGGCAGTATACCTTTGTAGGATTATTAGTTTCTCTTATTTGTCTTTCTTTACTATTAGTTTCTCTTATTCACTGTTCCTCTATGCTGGTGTTGATGTAGGTGCTTATATATATTTAAAATAGAAAGAAGGTTGGATAGTCACGATAGTGTGGCGTCAAAGTTTTACGAATTGGTTTCCCTTCATTTTAGTTTGTAGTATTTTGAGTTTTAGATAAGTATTGATAAAATGAGTTTGAGAAAAGTTTGTTTGTTCACTACTGTTTCGTCAGTTTTGTTCCCATGATCATGCATATCAATAGCTAGTCTTTTAGGCAAATTCCAAATCTGCCCATCAAAGCCCATGTATTTAAACCGGCAATTTTGTGTTAACTTTGTCCACAAATAACTTCTAGACTTTGGACCTTCGCAATAATCTCAAATTTAGAGAAATAATTATGAATATTCGTAGTTTTCTTTAGTTGAGTACAATTCTTTGAAATTAGAATCGAGGTGCGCCATGCCAAACAAAAATGACAATTGCATGGCCCTCGTTCTAATCAGTCTAATTTCAATCCTTTAGAATTCGAGGAATGCCATTTAGCAAATTCCATGGCCCCCACAAAGTTGAAAAAACGTTAGTCGCTTTAGGCGCTTTTAATAATTCTACCTTCCTAAATACGGGTGCACATTTATGTGACCCAATTCCAAATCCCAACGAAGTCGAAATGTGTCAAAAACCGCGGGTGCATTTATGTGACGTGGTTCGAGACGCGTTTTCACGACGTTGTAATTCTCTTAAAAAACAATAATAAAAGCGGTTTAAGGTTAAGAAGCACATAAGTTAAAACATGTACTAAAATCAGATTTTTAGCCATATATAATAATTTAAGCGACCGTGCTAGAACCACGGGATCTGGGGGTGCCTAACACCTTCCCTCGGGTCAACAGAATTCCTTATTCAGAATTTCTGGTTCGCAGACTCCAATTGGGAAGTCGAATTTTCCTCGATTTGGGATTCAAATTAAATCGGTGACTTGGGACACCAAAAGCCAATCCTTTCCCAAGTGGCGACTCTAAAGACAAATAAATAATCCCATTTCGAATAATGTCACTTTAAATGGAAAAACTCCCTTATACATTATCCTTCGGGGTAAGTGTGTAAAAAAGGAGGTGTGACAGTACCGACCGGGTTTTGGGTTAGGGGTTGTTTGGTTTGGGCTGAGTTATTGGTCTAGAGTATTGGGGTTTTGGTCTATTTATTTGGTCCGAAATTGTTTAGAAATTGGGGCTATTATTTAAATACCCAATATTTATCAGAAATAATTTATAAAAAGTAATTAGTAAATAATAAAATATTATTTGTGCACTAAAATGGTTGAAAATAATAACTTAACATTATAGAAAACAAATAATGTAATTATACATGAATATAGGCTATTATTGCAAAAATGTGCAATTAGCCTAAAATGCAAATGTAATTATGAAAAAAGGAAGTAGAATATTTTAAAAACATACATGTTGGTATAAATAACGAGTTTGGATGATTAAATCATCATAAAAATAATTTGAAGAATAATTATTGGATCTTTATATAATAAAAATATAAAAAGAAATTAATTTTGGGCTTCTAAAATTATGAAAAATGTTTGTATAGGTTTGTAGACTAAATGATGATGCAAATATACTATTTTGAAAGTATATATACATTTTAAAAATATGAGGGAAAAATTGGGTATCAACACTTCATAGCTGCCCCGATCCCTCGTGGCTATTTAGCTGAATACTTCAAAAACTCATGCAACTCTGGTCATAAAACACTCCGAAGACTCTACCAAGCGTTTACCCATCCTTGTAATAGTCAAGCAAACTTCCGTAAATGCTTTGAAATGATAATATATGCATTCCACCGATGGAAGCCTCATACGAAACACACGATCCAAACTCATCATGTAGGAGATAACCCAACGGCTGTACTTAAATCGACACCTCACCATGAACCCGCCTTAATAACAACAACGAGGCCACCAGCCAATCTTCCCAAGTTTGTGCTTACCAACCAGATATAAGAACCTGCCTCGTACCACAATTGAACGACAGAAAGATCTATCATTGTATCTGCTCCTAAGACCAGACAACGAATCACGCTGATAATCAAGCATCCATAGTCCTTCGTAATCCATCCGCAACATCACAAACTGTCTGTTACGACCCGGATTTCCCACCCTCGGGGGTCGTGATGGCGCCTACTATTAGGAGCTAGGCAAGCCAATTATTTATTATCTCTTTTAGCAAACCTCGACATTATTAAAAACAACGAAACATTTAATAGAAAAGCGGAAGTCCTAAATATAAATAACTGAAAGCAATGCGGAAGTTCAATACAACTCTACCCAAGAACTGGAGTCACAAACTCACGAACGTCTAGAGAATGCTAAATACAATGTCTGAATAAAAACATAGTTTTGTTTGTTCCGGTACAAAGGATAACAAAGTAAAGTAAAGAGAGAAGAAACTCCAGGCCTGCGGACGTCAGCAAGGCTACCTCGGTGTCTTTGGACTGAAGTCAGCTCCCAAATCTACTATTGCTGTCCAAAAGCTGCTCCGGCACCGTGATCTGTGCAAAAAGATGCACAGAGTGTAACATCAGCACAACCGACCCCATGTGCTGGTTAGTGCCTGGCCTAACCCCGGCGAAGTAGTGATGAGGCTAGACCGGACTACCAAACAAACCTGTGCAGTTCAATATATATGTATGCAAAATAAAAGTATACGGAAATTAACCAGTCAAGGGGGAGGGGGAGCATGCTGTAGACGCTGTAACAGTTCAAGTATAAAATCAATAATTAAAGAATGAAACAGTACAACTATAATAGCAACGAGAGTAGGAAATTAACAGTTGCACGGCACCATCTTTCGTGCTTTTACTCTCATTCTCACCCAAACAATCACATAAAGTGCACGGCATCACCCTTCGTGCTTTACCTCACAAAATGATGGCACAGAATGATCCTTCGTGCATAAACACTCATATCATGGCACGGAATGTTCCTTCGTGCATTAGTAATCAAATCATGGCACGGAATGTTCCTTCGTGCATTAGTATTCATATCACAATCGTGTACGGCATCACCCTTCGTGCTTTACCTCACAAAATGATGGCACGGAATGATCCTTCGTGCATAAACACACATATCATGGCACAGAATGTTCCTTCGTGCATTAGTAATCAAATTATGGCACGGAATGTTCCTTCGTGCATTAGTATTCATATCACAATCGTGCACGACATCACCCTTCGTGCTTTATCACTCGTCCTCACCCAAACAACAATAAAAAACAATGGGGCGAGGGAATAGACAAACAAAATAGGAATCCCGGCAAGGGAACAATAACAACAATTTCAATATCCCGGCAAGGGAGAAAAGTCTACCACACAGCAAAACATCCCGGCAAGGGGATAACCAATAACTCATTAGCTTTCTTTCATTTCTTACTTCACATCTCACTTTATCANGTTGTACTACACGCGGACGCGATGAAGAGATGTTGGGAACTACGCGAACGCGAGGATTCAATCGCGAACGCGAAGAGGAAAGAAGACTAAGCCCCTCAGGGTCACTTGACCCTACGCGAACGCGAAGCAAGGGCTGCGAACGCGATGAAGGAAAATTGAGGAGCTTCGCGAACGCGTGAGGGAGAGTGCGAACACGAAGAAGGATTCACCTGGGCACCTGTTGCAGATTTTCTGCAACATTTCTAAGTTCAAAACCACCCCGAACACCTCCGAAAACACTCCCGAGCCCCTGGGGCTCCTAACCAAACACACACTAACTCAACGACATCCTACGAACTTAACCGTGCGATCAAATCGCCAAAATAACATCAAACTCAATGAATTAAACCTCAAAATCATCACTTTTTCATCAAACTTCATAAACTTTCATTTTTAAAGATTTAGGTCCGAAACATGTCAAATGACGTCCGATTTCAACCAAATTTCACAGAAAGCGCTTAAACCACATATAAGACCTGTACCGGGTGCCGGAACCAAAATACGGGCCCGATACCAACACGTTCTAATCAATTTTCGTTTCAAATTTCCATATTAATTTCAGAAAAACAATTTCACAGAAAAATTCATTTCTCGGGCTCTAGACCTCGGAATTCGACTCCGGGCATATGCCCGAGTCTCATATTTTTCTACGGACCCTCCGGGACCGTCCAATCATGGGTCTGGGTCCGTTTACCCAAAATGTTGACCAAAGTCAACTTTAATCACATTAATACCAAAATTCATCATTTTTCACACAGAATTCATATTTAAGCTTTTCGGCTACGCGCCCGGATTGCGCACGCAAATCGAGGCGACTAAAAATAAGGTTTTCAAGGCCTCGGAAGCACGGAATGAATGAGAAAACAGGTGATGACCCTTTGGTTCGTCACATTCTCCACCTCTAAAACAACCGTTCGTCCTCGAACGGACAAAAGAAAGAAGTACCTGAGTCGGGAAAAAGTTGAGGATAATGGCTCCGCATATCAGACTCGGACTCCCAGGTCGAT